AAAATCCCGATCATGCCCAACTCAATTCCCTTTCACCTTAATTCCACTAATCCTTGGCCTAATTAATCAAACAACAATGATAATGAAATTAAACTCAAATATGACATGAAATCAAGTCGGCATAAGGCACTCGCAAACTCCGCCTGGCTGAAATTTCGTATAATGACTCATCGACCATAAACCATAAATTTATTATAACAATTGAACTCATCTAGTAAATAAATAAGTCGAAAAACATATGAGTGCAACAAATTAAATTTATAGAAATATTTTAATAAATATATAATATACACACTTTTTCCAATCAATTCAATCAAGATAAATGTAGTATGGCTAAAAATAATCCGTGAAACAATGCCCTGTAACTACAATAATAAGAAAATCTACACTGAAGACAAATTACAAAACCGTTTGCAATCCATTAAAGGAACAGCATATAAGCCACAAGTTCATCAATCAAAGAATTAAGAACACGAGTCTCGAGTTGTAAACCGAGCTCAAAGGCCTCCACGTCAAAGTCGAGCCATTTCCCATGTTGGCTGCTCATGTTCTTATCGACAAGCTCATCTATCATAGAATCTCCTACTGGACTCCAACCCGATATTTCTTTGCAAACCTCCCCAGCTAATCTTTCTTTTCTTTTAATAACTGATGCATTCTTAACCCATGATTTGCATCCGTATGGTCTGCATCTAAAATCCAAGCATTCACCCACGCAGTCGAACAAAAGTTTCCTTTCCACTGTTGAAACGTGTCCAGATTTACTTAAATACCCTTTTGACATTTCGAGTTTGTCAAAGAGGTGAGGTTTTATGACACCTTGTGATCGGCCCACGGCAAAATCCTCAAACATGAGCTCTACTTTGAATAGTATCTCCTTCACGTACTCAAGTTCCCATTTTTGGGACATTACATGGTGGTTAGTTGAATTCAAGGTTGGCACTTGCGTTTTCACGATGGTGGCTATAGAATTTGACGAAGCTGAGTCGGTTAACTCGGCATCTGCTTCACTTGCGAGGAACATTTTTGAGGAATACATGTCGTCGAGTAATTCGTGAGATGATTGAATTGATGATGAACATTGTTTGCTAACTGCATTTGCAAATGAAGAGCAGTCTATTAATCTTTCATGATTAAGATAAAACTAAAAATAAAATACTAATAAAAAACAGTGTGTCTCTACTAATGGTGAGAAAATCCAGAAGTTACTGAAGATTACAGAAACACCTCCAGTGATTTGATTGTCATAATAATAATAAAAAAAAACACACACACACACGCACACAAAGGTTTGAGAGAAGTTTTGTGATGATATCATAGCTTAAACCTCCGCGACATTTGTATTAATAGTAAGAGCTGTTCCTTACCTCCCATACTGTTGCTGTCTGCAGTATCTGAAGAATTGAATCTTTCAGCAGAAGGAGAAAGATCAAGGACTGAAACTGGACTTGGAAATCGACAATCAAGTGACTTTGTAGCTCGGGATGTGTTGCTGTCCGTAATGCTCAATTCTTCCAGCAAATCCTACATAGAGCATTGGAATTATATGGTTTAGCTTTTCTAACGGTTCTTCTTGCTATTATTTTTAATTTCCCTTATGATAATTATACATATATCTTCCAAAGCAACCCATCCTGTGAACACATTGTTGGTAAATAAGCTTTTAAAAAAATTATTAGCATTTTCCCAAAAATATTTTTTTTTATTACTCGATAACATAGTTACTTCCTTTTGTTAGCTATACAACTCTAACCTATAAAAGATGAGTCACTTAAGCAGAGCTTTAGTAGGTAAAAATAGACATCTGTATTGTGGAATCAATCTAATAACGTACTAAGCAATTACAAACTAGAACTAAGCAATGATAATATATATGCGCCAAGAAAACACAAGGAGAACTCTAAGCAATTACAAAGTAGAGCCAGTTTGCATACATACCTGGTTATCTATGTCCATTTCATCCACAGCTTGATTCCCTTCCAAATCTGACTTGTGTTCCGAAAACTCTACTTTTTGAGCCAACTCTTTAAGCTTTTCCTCCAAGAGACTGCTTAATGCATCACCACCCTTTATATTATTATTCCCAATGTACAAACTTTTACTGTGGCAACCTTTTATTGGAGCTGTGAAAGTGAATGAAACAACATTTGTTCCAGTTTTTCTCCTATCCTCCTGATTCCAGCCAACAGCCTTAGAATTCCCATCCACGCATCTTTTCTTTTGAGCAACTCTTTCAGCTTTGTTCTTATCATCTTTGACCTCTGAGCCTGTCTTTTTCGAGCTACTGACTCTAGACGTCCCACTAAGTTTGCTTTTTACAACTTTCGGGGTGGATTTCACCGGAGATTTCCCCCTATCGACTATACAATTTTGTTTCTGATTATTCTGGCGAAGCACATTAGGACCATTTTGACAGCTAGGCTTCTTTGCAATATGTTTCCGTGCCGCCAGTTGACTTATGAAGATAATACTATTAGTATTATTATTACTATTACTTGGACTGAGCTCACATATTTCTTTCTTTTTCACATTCATGTCTTCTCTTTTCTGGATGTTTGCCTTCGCCTGTAATGCAAGCGATATCGACTTTCCCTTCTTATTCTCCGGCCCTTTGAGATTCTTGACTTCACCTTTTCTTTGGGAACCCTCAAATATTCTGGATGGAGGTTTTCGGGATTTCACCTTTTTATTCGGCTCGAATTCGATGATCCTTGTGGCAGCCTCCATTACGCGTGTACCATCTGTAGACGGGTTGAAATAACCGCTTTTTATAGGGGACAAAAGCTTGTGATGGGTGACCGAAATTGACTTTGCATATTTTGGCGGCAACACTTCCGTTTGGAATTTTTCAATCACTCTTGCATTCTGGACAGGCAAAGAGCCGGAATTTGTGATTCCATCTTGAAAAGTTTCAGACTTTTGAGGTTGATGGTGGTTATAATAATTTAGGGTGGGAAGGGATTGAGAGTCGGAAAGTGGCATGGAATCTAATCCCATAAGCCTTGCAACAACACTCGGGGCCCTCGTCTCGTAAAAGTCTTCATCCATAACTGATGAACAACAACTATAACTATAATCACTGCCTTCTTTTATACTTGATGCTCCACCTATAATTTCATCAACTTCCATCTACACATAGGAAATGAATCTTTTAATTTGTTTACAAAGGAAAAAAAAAAACACAAAAATATGCCAGCTATTTCGTCATATATATGATAATATCCTCACCTTCTGAATCCGGGTTGTTGGCAAGTTTCCATCACATCTTTTCTTCTGTTTTGATCGCCCTGAATTAAGCAGAAAAGGAAACAAAACTTGAGGTTTCTGACGAAAATTAACCCTGAGGTTTAGCATAATTATAAAATTACCCCATCCCTATATATATATTTAACAACAGTATTTCACAGGTAGATGCAAAACCTCAGGGGCATTTTTTTAATAATTCTACCTAACTGCACACCATACAAAGAAGAAAAAGATTCATATAGATCAATTTTTTACCGGGCGCATCAGATTTGCTTGAGAATAACTTCTTTCGTGATTTAGCATTCCAATCAAAGATCTGAAGAAAGCCACCAACATAATTTCCACTTCTGGAGCCTTGGTTCTCAAAACCCATCCTGACATGTGAAATCAAATAAAAAGAAAGAAAAAATTCAAGTTCAACCAAACTTATACACTGACGGCAAGAGCAAATAACACTTCAGAAATAGCTTAAATTTTAAGAGAAAGAAACAGGACATCACCCATCAACACATTCGAAATGCTTCATTTCATGATTCTGAATATAATATATGTTTCGAATTACTTCCAATATAGTAGGGTCAAAAGGGAATAAGCAATCCATTTTGTCGCTTTTGATGAACAATAGAACTAACAAACTATTGCACAAAACTTTTAGGTGTTCGTGTAGGTTTAGGAGTACAATAAAAGTTATATTAACATCTCTTGAAGAACAAAATATGGCAAATTATGATTGGCTGAACTAGAATTTGGAGGCCAATAATCACCCTATGGTCAAGAAACCAGCCATCACTTGATAGTGTTGTATCATAACAGCTAGACTTCGTTTACATGTCTTATGCAAAATGAGATATATTTGTTTCTCCAAGTTTATATGGCAACACAATAAATGAAATATTTATCAACCACAAGACTACCAAAAGCCAAATGAAAACGTCGCAAGCAAACATATTCTCATTTATAACTTTATAGTCTTATACGAAATCAAAATAAATCCTACTCAGGTGCAAACACAACATAACAACAAAACTTATCCAAAAAAGCACATCGTCAAACTCAATATAATTTCTGCTTAAAACCCAATTTAAGGGTCTTAAAAATTAACCATTTGTTTNAAAAGGATTTGTGTTTCCCCAGCAACAAAATCAGAAAGAACAGGCCCAAGTTCATTTTTTTTTTAATTCTTACGGATTTTGTTTATTAATTATTTCATCAGAATGTGTTCTCGCCTATGGATATTTAACAGAACAACATCTATAATTCGCAACAGTAACTGTTATGAAGATCATAATGGTAATACTGATAGTATAAATCAACTTAACAACAACACTAAGAAATACAAGCAAAAAGCATTAAAGCTCTAATTTTTTTTTCCATTCTCAGACAAAAGAGCGTTAAAAAACAATGTGAACTCAGGAAACTCACACATCCCACTTGAAATCAAGACTCTTGAGCTCAACCCAGCTGCAAAGCAGCAAACTTTATGCGACAAAAAACAATTGTTTAAAAATAAAATGGGTATCTTGGACGAAGAGAAAATAGGAATTTGTGAGGTTTGAAGAGAGACGGCTATTTTCTTGGTCAGAGAGAAGGAGAGAAAGCAGTGGAAAAAGAGTTGCCTAGCAAGGAAGACCCAGTACACAACAGGGAAAGTTTTGGATTTTTGGAGAGTTTAAAACGATTAGAAAACGAAAGAAATTGAATAATACATGTATACACAATATTTATATTGAAAATGATGCGGAAATAATGCAAACTTCGTGCTAAAAAAAAAAAACAAGTTTTGTAACGTCTCTTTTTGGTGAGGAAGGGATTTCAAATTCCAAAAGGGAGGCCTGGGACCCACATACGGAGTTGGGTATAATCGTCTAGGTGGCGACGTACGGTAAGGCTATGCAGCCAGGTTTTGCAAGGTTTTGAAAACCGGACATATCATCCAACGGTTTGATCGGTAATTAATTTATTAATATTTTTACACATATATATTATTTTTTATAATAGAATTTAGGGACACTTCGTTAAAAATTCTCAATCCTTTTTCAAACTTCCATATCAGTCCCTAAGCATTATTTCTTTCCATTGCACTCTCTACCCCTCTATTTAACTTCCATTTAAATCCTTCCTATTAAAATAACTCAAAAAGAAATTCCACACAAATTAACTTCTACACAAATCCCTCCTATTAAAATAACTTCCATACTCATTTACATATTATTTAATTATTTTTCTTTTACCTAACATTATATAAATAGTAATATTTTATTTTTGGCTTCTTTCCCACACAAATCACCATCTCCCTCTTTTCTGCAGCTTCATTTGCGGGCCACCTTTTTTTTTGTTTATTTTTTATGCAGCTTCATCTTGCCGGTGACACCAAATCCGACGACAAGAACTTCGGCGGCAACAAATCCGGCGAATTAAGTGATCCCGACGTCAAATTTCTCTAGCCGAAAATCATATTTTTTCGGCAACATTGAGCCTTTTTGCGGCGAAAACTTGAAGCAATAAGTAATCTATGTATTATATGAGGACTATGGAGTACAAAAATCATCATTAATTCATATATTTTTAGTTAATTTGTTAAGGATTCAATTATGAATAGTTGTTTATATTTACCCTAAAACAAATAAAGTGATCAGAATCTCTTTTTTGTTGTTCATGTATACCAAATGTATGCTATTGTTAGGTTATGTTAAGTGTTATTCACCACAAATAAAAAAAAAAAGGATGATAATAATCATAGTACCACTATTCATGATTTTTGTATCTCTGTTTGTATATCTAGTATCACGTTGCTCACTGTTTGGTACCATATGTGCTGGAAAATGTGAATTGTTTTGTTTTATCCAATTATTGTTAGATACATGGAAGGGGCACAAAGTGATATATTAGGGAGTTGTACTCACAAAAATGAATTGTATGCATTCTTTATGCACCTTGGATCAACGTTTGACAAAGTGTACACTCTGATTGCTAAGAGGTGACTGATTGTTAATTTGGAAATCGTCATGTTAAACTATATTATGCAAAAAGAGAGTTAGTTTGTCTGATGATGAGGATGTGAAAAACATGATTCGGTTACATGTTTGCTGGAAAGTAAATATTGTAGAGATACTTGTCTTTGAAAGAAATAAAAGCCCGGCCATTAGAAGAAATGAAAGACTGGGTGATGGAGTTCAATCCATCCCGATGAGCATGAGCGGGTAATGTTGCTTTCATAATATTAATGAACTTATTATTGAAATATGGTGTATTTATCATATCCTAGTTCATTAATTTTTTAACTAGTTCCATTATTTATAAATCTTTGTATTATTTTGTCATGAACGCTTCGTACCGTATGTTGATTTCTCGGAAGGAGAATCGGAGTTGTTAGTGCAAGATAAATCGATCGATTCTTGTAGATTTGCATAAAGGAGAGGGGCAGATATTCAATGGCGGCGTAGATGAATTTCGAAAACGTGATAATTCAATTAGTACATATTTTCGTTGACCCAACGAAAATGGATTATGTAGCGCCACGATTTTATTTATCTATGAGATTGCTCGACTTTAGTTGTTTGTCCCATTTTTGTGTCTCTATTTCATGTTTATTTTCTTTTTGTTTTCCCCCATTTGTACATTTTTCGTGGTTTATTTGGTCCATTTCGTTCATTTTGTGGTTTTCTCCTTAGTTTCTTTTTGTGTGTCTTTTTGCCGTGTTTTGCTTCGTGTTTTTCCTTGTTTTTGTGTTTTCAGAAGATAGGTTGTTCCGGTCGAGTTGGGACTGCTTCAGCCGAGACCGTGATATTGAGAATTTTCGTGGCCGAGCCCAGAAGACGACGAAGAGGACTGAAAAACGGATAGAAACACGCGCCCAGAATTTCTCGCGACTCGCGGAAAAAACTGGGGCTTAAGAGGATTTCCGAAGAACGAGTCACGACTCGCGAGATGATGTCGCGACCCAACCCCAGAAGTTTAACATTTTGACGACGCGTGACTCGCGAGGATGTCGCGACTCGCGACCGAGGAAAAGACTATCTTGCGACTCGCGACTTACCTGGCGTGAATTTCGAGGACGGGATTTTTAGAGCAGATTTTGATCCTAGGGTTCATTATTCAACTTTCAGACTTTATTTTTACGCTTTTTCTCTAGAGAAACTCATTCCTTTTCGTGCTTTTTCTCTTTTGATTGGACTTGGAGATTGAAAAACTCCTTTTCATTGCTTTGGATTTGGATGCACTTGGATTTGACATTGGATTCTTATCATTAATCGTAAGTTATTTTTCTCAATTGCTTTGTTGATGATGATGACTTGGGTTTATATGAATACTGATGTTAAATTCGTTATGAGTAGCTAAATCCATTCGCTATGAATAGGGGATGATTGATTAGGTTCGTTATAATTGAATGCCTTTGATTGTTCATATCTATTCGAGTTGTGTGAATTATAGGGTTAGTAGATTGATCACCTTTCTACCTAGATAATCAACGTGTAGAACCGAGAGGGGAGACGTTGGTCGAATTAGGCTCGTTTAGAATAGATTTGTTCATAAACGTATAGTCTATGTGTTGTTGGAATTGATAGTTGATCGTTTACATTCACTCTCTTGTTACGAAGAGTTATTGAGAGTGAACCTCTGAACGAGAAACGATTCAAGACCTTTAACCGAGCAATCGATTGCCGGTGATTGTGTTAGAACCGAAAGCGATTATCCCCGATTCCCTAGCACTTTAATCATTCAGTAAATTCATTTGCTATTTTACTTTCATTTTATTTAGTTTAAATCAGTAGTTGATAATTGAAACTCAAAAATATTGAATTATTGTGTTTAGGAATTTGTCTTATCTTTTCGTGATTGAATAAATGCACAAGAATATCCGGCTAACCTTCCTTGCGATACGACTCGGGAAACGAATCTTTCGATTCTACTCCAGTAAAAATACTGACAACAAAATTGGTGCCGTTGTCGGGGAAGGTTTAGGACTATAATTGTGCGCCTATTCCTTTTTTTTAGTGTTTCTCTTATTTCTTGTGATTTTTCTTGTTTTCGTTTTTCTCTTTGTTTCTTTAGTTTAGTCTAGTAGCTCTTGCTTTCTTTAGCTTTCTTCTTTGTTTATCTGGTGCTCGTGATGGTTTCTTTTGTCTTTGTGTATGCGTACCAGGAGTGGGCGTACCATAGGACCAAACGACGAACCAAGTCACGAGAGCGTAAGGGAGCTGTTTGACAAACTCAGCCTCGATTCATCTGATACCACAAAGCAGACATGGCTCTTCAACACCGCGATCTCCTTCGAAACTTAGCCCATCCGAGGATTGGGCCGATAACTTCATGCATCCGGTTGCCACAAGAAGCTCGGAACTACCAGCTTAAGATGATCCATTACAACCAGCTGCCATCCTTCCACGGGCTCCCGAATGAAGACCCGCTTAACTTCTTTTGGGAATTCTACAATGTGCTACAGACCTTCCTTCTCCACGGGCTCACAGAGGAGCAACTGAAGATGAGGTGTTTTCCTGAGACACTGAAGGACCGGGCCAAGGCTTGGTTCATGACCCTCGCACCGGACTCTCTCACTACCTGGACTGAAGTATACACGAAGTTCATTGGGTGGTACTACTCCCATCAGAAGACCCAGGAGCTCCGGGCGCAAATCGTCTCATTCGCTCAACTACCGAATGAGCCGCTTCACGAGGCTTGGGAGCGGTTCAAGGATCTCCAGCGGCAGTGCCCTCATCACAACCTCTCTCCTGGGCTACTAATCAACTGCTTCTACGACTCCCTCCATCAGAACTTGCAGTATATGGTTGACAATGCGGCATGGGGAGATATAGGAGCAAAAACGGCTGGAGAGATGTTCGACATTTTTGAGACGATGAGCACGAATTCGTCATAGAAGAGCAGCTGAGGGAAGAGAGTGACAGTGAACGAGGTCGGGCCGGGCAACAATGTGATGGCCCAGCAGTTAGCCGAACTCACAGAGCAAATGCGTTTACTTAACGCACGAGGAGCTCAGCCAGTTCAGACCATGGCCGTTGACACGTGTGGGGCCTGTGGAGTCCCAGGGCATAGGTCTGAAGTGTGCCCTTCAGCCTTCGATCAAGAGTTCGGTGAGCAGTAAGCAGATGTCAGCGCTTTACAGGGATACCAAGCCCGGCCTGACAATGACCCGTTTTCAAACACGTACAACCTGGGATGGAGGAATCATCCCAGCTTCTCCTGGTCCAAAAACACAAACTCCCTCCAGCAACCCTAATCCCCGAATTTCATCAACTGCAACCTCCGACCAGCCATCTCCCGGTGTTCCGTCCTCCACCTCCGGTGACACTTCATCAGCCGCTCACTCTCTCCCCTCGCGACAAACCACCGTCTCCTACCTCCGCTTCACTCTTGTCCAATCGAAGCCCTCACCTTCACTTTTCCAGACCACCGTCTCCGGCCCGCCGTTTCGACCTCCGACCATCGTCTCTCGACACCACATCACCAGCGGCCATACCGTCATCTTCGACTTTAACTTCTAAAGGAACCCTAGCCGTCTCCTCTGATTTCCGACTGCCCGCCGACGACCAGCCTCCACTAATTCCAGCCCGCCACTGCCGACGAATGCTCTCCTCCGTCCACCAGCCTACTGGCATCCACCTCCTCTGACCGACGGCAGCCACCAGCTGCTTTTTACCGGCTGTCACTTCAACATCTTCACAGCTCGTCGTCTCACGTTTTGATTTTTTGGGTAAACGTGCTTTCACCTATTATGATTGGAGTACTTCTGTTGTTT